ACAATTAATGTATATTTTATTTATGCTTTAAAGATACTAAAAATATAAAATAATTACTGTATTATTATTTTCGTTATTATAATTATTATTAAACTGTAACAATTTTTATATACAAAACTATAATAGTTTAATTATCGTTAATTATATATTTAGTTATACTCTTATATTAATAATTATTAATATTAAATATTTTTCCATTAAACAATGTATTATTATTAATTTATTTTTTACTAATATAAAATTTAAATATAATTAGTTTATAAATGTTTTTTTAATTACAATACTCACTACATTGACATTACGAAATTGTTTATTATTATTTCATGTTTTTCATTAAAATTATTATTATTATTATAAAAATAATACAGTTTATTGAATATTATAATTATTTTATGGACATTCATTGTATTAATATTGTTTATGAATTAACATTTACTTATGAAATAATAATAATAATTTGAAAGCTATTACTGTATAATTTATTTATTGAATATTATTATATTTTACTAAATTATAAATTTATATAGAATTAAGTTTAATTATTTTTAATAACAAACCAAAAACTAAAATTATTTATGACAATAATATTTATGATAATTTAGTGAACATTTTTGTGAAAAACATTTATTACATTCATTGACATTACATTTAAATGGTTTAATTCCTGAATGTTTTCGTTGAAATGAGTTAATATATGTATTTTTAATAAGGTGTTCATAAAAACAATTATAATATAATTGGTTTTGAAATTACAAAATAAATTAATAAAATAAAATAATTAAAAAGAATATTTTTTAATTATAACTAAGACTCTATTTTCTAATTAAAATATTTATCGCAATCATTGACATCAAATTTAATTGGATTTTATATTCAAATGTTTAGTACGTTTGTGTTGTTTCAAACCATTTGATGAAAAATATATTTTTTTACAACTATTATAATCGCATCGAAATTTGGGTTCAATTGTATGATCTCTGGATTTGTGTTTTAGTAAACAATGATTTGTTGTAAATGTTTTCAAACACTTGATTACTGAACAATGAAATTGTTTTTTCTGTAAATGAATGAATTTGTGTGTATTATAATGACTTAAAGTTGAAAATTTTTTGTCGCAATAATCGACATCACATCGAAATTGGTAATGTTTTATATGAACTGACATTTTATGTCTTTTTAAATGACATAATTGTTTATATAATTTGTTGCAATTTTCATAATTACATTTAAACTTTCTATTATTTAAATGAACAATAGATTTATGTCGATTTAGATCTGATTTTGAATTAAAACATTTGCCACAAGCGTTGTAATCGCAAACATATTTAATATTTAAATGTTTAACATTTTTATGATAATTTAAATGTGAAAAAGTTTTGAAAGTTTTAATACAATTATTGCATTTAATTAGCTTATGTGATGAATGAATTGCTTGATGTCTGAATAAATTTATTTCAACATATGTTTTATACCGACATTTGGGCCAAAAACACATGAATCGCATGTTATTGTTATCCACACGTGTGTTGTTGTTGTTGTTGTCATAACAGTCACTATAATCAGTGATTTTCATAGAAATACAGGCATTTGTTGTGATATTTACATCATTGAAGGCATCAATTGTTTCACACAATTTGTTATTAATTTGTTGTAAATTCAATGACAAACTTTTCAAATTATTTAATTTATTAATTTGTTTAATTAACTCCATAACTGTTTTGCAAAAGAAATAATATAACTTTAAATATCACTAAAACACGTGTTTTTATAACATATTTAATTTATATTAAACCAAACAGTAAATCATTGGAAAAGGATATCACTTTATATATGATTTTTGTTTTTTTAATCCTTAAACCTGTTTATTAATATTTATTACTTTCATTATTTACTTATATTAATAAAAATAATAGACTTTCATCAATAATTTTCTAATAAATTTTCATATTATTATTATTATTATATTTGTTGTAACATCTAACTATCTATATAGATTTTTATTTTTAAAATTAATTATTGTATATAAAAACTGTTATAGTAAAGTATACATTTTATGATTTGAATTTTTATTAGTAATAATTAGCAAATAAACAAATATTTAATAATTTAATTGATTTAATTCATATGCAATTTTTCATTACTAATTGAATAATTAATAATAATGTTTTTTTAAAACAATATTTCTTGTTTTAAAAATAAAACAATTACAATATAATTATTGGTTTTGAAATTACAAAAAAAAAACAAATTAAATAAAATAATTAATGACAATATATTTTTTATTATAATTAATGACAATATTTTTTATTATAATTAATGACAATATTTTTTTAAAATAATAATTAAGACTCTATTTTCTGATTAAAATATTTATCGCAATCATTGCATCACATATTAAAATGGCTTTTATATCCAAATGTTTAGTACGTTTGTGTCATTTCAAATGACATAATTGTATGAATAATTTATTGCAGTTTTCATAATTACATTTAAATTTTTTATTATTTAAATGAACTGTAGATTTATGTTGATTTAAAGCATAATTTCTAGTAAAACATTTGCCACAATCGTTGTAATCGCAAACATATTTAATATTTAAATGTCTAACACTTTTATGACGTTTCAATGTTGACTGAGTTTTGTATTTTTTATTTCATTTATTACATTTAAATGGATCTTCAGATGAATGAATTAATTGATGGATAAATAATTGGTTTTCATTATTAGTTTTATACCGACATTTTGGCAAAAAACAAGTGAATCGCTTGTTATTGTTATCCACACTTGTGTTGTTGTTGTTGTCATAACAGTCACTATAATCAGTGATTTTCATAGAAATGAAATCATTTGTTGTAATATTCACTACATTTAAGCCATCAATTGTTTCACACAATTTGTTATTAATTTGTAGTAAATTCAATGACAAACTTTTCAAATTATTTAATTTATTAATTAGTTTAATTAACTCCATAACTGTTTTGCTAAAAAAATAATATAACTTTAGTATCAATAAAACATATTTAATTTATATTAAACCAAACAGTAAATCATTGGAAAAGGATATCACTTTATATGTGATTTTTGTTTTTTTAATCCTTAAACCTGTTTATTAATATTTATTACTTTCATTATTTACTTATATTAATAAAAATAATAGACTTTCATCAATAATTTTCTAATAAATTTTCATATTATTATTATTATTATTATTATATTTGTTGTAACATAAAATATAACAATAATTAAATATATTTTTTATGTAAAATTATTAATGAAATTAATAGTAATTTTTAAAAAAAAATTTAATAGATTTTTAATTTTTAAATTAATTATTGTATATAAAAACTGTTATAGTAAAGTATACATTTTATGATTTGAATTTTTATTAGTAATAATTAGCAAATAAACAAATATTTAATAACTTAGCATTGATTTAATTCATATGCAATTTTTCATTATTAATTGAATAATTAATAATAATGTTTTTTTAAAACAATATTTCTTGTTTTAAGAATAAAACAATTACAATATAATTATTGGTTTTGAAATTACAAAAAAAACAAATTAAATAAAATAATTAATGACAATATATTTTTTATTATAATTAATGACAATATTTTTTTAAAATGATAATTAAGACTCTATTTTCTGATTAAAATATTTATCGCAATCATTGCATCACATATTTAAATGGCTTTTATATCCAAATGTTTAGTACGTTTGTGTCGTTGCAAATGATTTGAAGTATAATATATTTTTTGACAATTTTTATAATCGCATCGAAATTTTGGTTCAATTGAATGATCTCTGGATATATGTTGTCGTAAACAATGATTTGTTGTAAATGTTTTCAAACATTTGTCATTAACTGAACAATGAAATCGTGGTTTAGATAAATGTATTAATTTGTGTTTATTATTATCACTTTTAGATGAAAATATTCTTCCGCAATACTCGACATCACATCGAAATTGTTTATGTTTTAAATGAATTAACATTTTATGCGATTTTAAATAACATATTTGTGTGAATAATTTGTTGCAATTTTCATAATTACATTTAAACTTTTTATTAAAATGAATACTAGATTTATGTCGATTTAAATGTGAATTACTAGTAAAACATTTGCCACAATCGTTGACATCGCAAACACATTTAACATTCAAATGTTTAATTTTTTTATGATAATTAAAATTTGATTTTGTTTTGAATGTTTTATTACAATCATTACATATAATAAGTTTTTCAGATGAATGAGTTAATTGATGAATAATTAAATATTTTTGTTTGTTTGTCATAAATCGACATTTTGGCCAAAAACACGTGAATCGCTTGTTATTGTTATCCACACGTGTGTTGTTGTTGTTGTCATAACAGTCACTATAATCAGTGATTTTCATAGAAATGAAATCATTTGTTGTAATATTCACTACATTTAAGCCATCAATTGTTTCACACAATTTGTTATTATTTTGTTGTAAATTCAATGACAAACTTTTCAAATTATTTAATTTATTAATTAGTTTAATTAACTCCATAACTATTTTGCAAAAAATAATATAATTTTAATATCAATAAAACACGTGTTTTTATAACATAATTAATTTATATTAAACCAATCATTCGAAAAGGATATCACTTTATATATGATTTTTTTGTTTTGTTTAATCCTTAAACCTGTTTATTAATATTTATTCTTAAATTATTTATTTTAGTAATACTTATATATTATTAATAACAGATTTTCATCAATAATCTATTTTTATAATTTATAATGTTTATTGTATATTAATGATAAATACATTAAATATAACGATAATTATATATATTATTTTTTATATCAAATTAAATTAATGTATTTAAGAGTTTATTTTTAAAAAAATTGTATATATTTTTATTATTAAAATTAATGATTGTATATAAAAACTACATTTTATGATTTTGTATTATTATTAGTAATAATTAGCAAATAAACTAATATTTAATTAATAATTAATATTTTATTCACCCGATTGATGAGCAAACAGTTTGAGGACTAACCAAAAATAAATACCAATATTAACTTAAATATATTTTTATTGATATTTTAAAAAAATAAATTCTATTGGTTTACTGTTTTTATTATTAATTAAGTTTTTTTAGAAAAAATTACATAAATAATATTTATTAATACAGTAATTGCTATAATGATCTTAAATACTAAATAAATAAATATTTTACTAAATTTTAATTGATTTATTAATAATTATTAAAAAAATATTATATTTATTTTATTAACATTCAATATATTATTTTTATGAATTAACAATTATTGTGATTATAATACTATATTATTAATTTATTTAATATATTTTTAAATAAATCTATTGATTAATTAAGAATCTATTATATATTTTAGAACATAATAACTAATAGTATAAATGAAAAATATTATAAATTCTTTAAATAATTATTTTTATTTTACTTATTTAATAAATTATCATTTTATATAGAATTAAATCAAATAAACTAATACTTAATTAATAAACATTTTATTAATATGCAATTTAATAACATTTTTAAAAAACAATATTTCTTGTTTAATAAATAAAACAATTAGAATATAATTATTGGTTTTGAAATTACAAAAAAACAAATTAATTAAAATAATTTAAGAGAATATTTTTTTAATGATAATTAAGACTCTATTTTCTAATTAAAATATTTATGGCAATCATAGACATCACATTTAAACCGATTAAATATTCAAATGTTTAGTACGATTGTGTTTTTGCAAACCATTAGATGTAAAATATATTTTTTGACAATTTTTATAATTGAATCGGAAATTTTGGTTCAATTGAATGATCTCTGGATATATGTTGTCGTAAACAATGATTTGTTGAAAATGTTTTCAAACACTTCTTATTAACAGAACAATGAAATCGTGGTTTAGATAAATGTATTAATTTGTGTTTATTATAAGCATTTTTCAATGAAAATATTTTTCCGCAATAATCAAAATCACATCGAAATTTTTTAAGTTTTAAATGAATTAACGTTTTATGCCATTTTAAATGACACATTCGTGTGTATATTTTGTTGCAATTATCATAATTACATTTAAACTTTTTATTATTCAAATGAACTGTAGATTTATGTTGATTTAAATCCCAATTTCTAGTCAATCTAGACAATCGTTGTAATCGCAAACATATTTAATATTTAAATGTTTAACACTTTTATGACGTATCAATGATGACTGCGTTTTGTATTTTTTATTACATTTATTACATTTAAATGGATCTTCAGATGAATGAATTAATTGATGGATAAATAATTGGTTTTCATTATAAGTTTTATACCGACATTTGGGCCAAAAACACGTGAATTACGTGCTATTATTATCCACACGTGTGTGGTTTTTGATGTCATAAAAGTCACTATAATCAGTGATTTTCATAGAAATGCAATCATTTAATTTAATATTCACTACATTTAAGCCATCAATTGTTTCACGCAATTTGTTATTAATTTGTTTTAAATTCAATGACAAACTTTTCAATTTATTTAATTTATTAATTAGTTTAATTAACTTCATAACTGTATTTTAAAAATAATATAACTTTAATATCAATAAAACACGTGTTTTTCTAAGATATTTAATTTATATTAAATCAAACACTAAATCACTTCATAATAAAGTATACATTTTGAATTTTAATTATAAATAATTAACAAATAAAACTATATATATAATTTAATTTATATATGTAAAATAACACATTTTTTTATAGAGATCATAGATAATAATAATAAATTGTATATTTATTTGATGTTTGCATTAATTTATACATAAACTGTAATATGAAATATTTTTTTAATACAATTATTATTTATAATTTCTATTCAATTAACTAAACTTATTTTATTTAATAATATTTGTATTTGTATTTAAATCCGTAAAACTGTTTAATAATTATTATATTTACTACTATTTACTTCAAATTAACATAAATACTGTATTTATATTATTGTAATTTTGTTAAAATATTGTAAAACAATTAATGTATATTTTTTTAATTTATGTTTAAAAATGATATTAATTGATTAAATTTAATAGTTTTCTATATTTATAATAAGTTTTTTATTTTTTGGTCAGTTGGTTGGACTAAATTGAAAGCCAGTAATATATATATATATATCAGGGTTAAGTAAGGGGGGGGGTATGGGGGGTAAGGCCAAAATACCCCCCCTAAGATCGAGAAATTGGAATTTTACCCCCCAGACTTTTTGACCAAATTGGAAAAATTGTCGCTTAAAAACGATGAGAAATGACCCACCCCCTAAAATTTCGGCGCCGAAGGCGCCGAAAATTTATTTGAAATTTATAAAAATTTTAATTTTAGTTGATACTATTTTAGTAAGTGTTTTTATGTTTTTAATATTTATAAGAATCTAATTATTGATTAAAAATAGTTAAAATAACGTTAAAACTCATCAAAAAATAACAATATTTTAATTAAAATAAACTAAAAAATTAAAAATTACCTATTTGTTGAAAAGAGTAATCATATTACAATTTAAATATAAGTTTAAGATAGTTTAAGATTGTTTAAGAAGTTAATAAAACAATAAATACTTATATTATAATTTTTTTATTAACAATTTTTTAAATTTGAACTAAAAAATTTGAAAATATTTTCAATTTTATACTTAATATAACTAAAAATTTAACGAAAATTGAGTTAAATAAGTAGTATTCAGTCAGTATTTGTATAAAAATAACATTTAAAAAATAAAAATATATAACAATATTATTTAAAAAATTAATTATGATAAAAGTTAAAAATTATTAAAATACTAAAAATAACCCATAGTGTATCATTAATGCTTTTATCAACTATTTTTAAATCTTAAATACATTATTTTATTTTTTGTTAAAATTTAAGTTTTTATTAATTTTTAAAATTTTTTTTAAAAAAAATATTTATTTTTTGTTAAAATTTAAGTTTTTGTTAATTTTTAAGTTTTTTTATATTTTTGGAAATTTTACCTATTTTCCTGGGAACTTATACGGGAATTTATGGGAATTTTATTGAATTTACATGGGAATATTCTGGAACTTAAGGAATTTTTTGGGAATTTTCTCTAGACCCCCCCCCTTGATTTTGGATTTTTGAAAAAATTGCCGTTTAAAAATGCAATAAAAATCTTACCCCACCCAATACCCCCCCCCCCCAAGATTTTTCGAGAATTTTGTAAATTTTACCCCGGTCTACCCCCCCCCCCCCCCTAAAATCCAAAACCTTGCTTAACCCTGATATATATATATATAGATTTTCATCTCTGGGAACGGTATCTGAAAACTGAAAAAAATTAATGAGTTTTCAATGATTTATTAATAATGATTTTTAAAAATATTATATTTATTTCTATTAACATTAATTGTATTATTATTATGAATTAACAATTATTATGTCTATAATACTGTATTATTAATTTATTTAATATATTTTTTAATAAACCAATTGATTAATTAAATATAATTTAAAACATAATAACTAATAGTATCAATGAAAAATATTATAAATTCATTAAATAATTGTTTTTATTTTATTTATTTAATAAATTATCATTTTATATAGAATTAGGTATAATTATTTTTAAAAAACATACTAAAAAATAAATCTAAAATTATTTAATGACAATAATATTTATGATAATTTAGTGAAGTCTTTTGTGAAAAACATTTATTACATTCAATGACTTCACATTTAAATGGTTTAATTCCTGAATGATTTCGTTGATGTTTTAAAAGATCAGATTTAATAGTAAATTGTTTGCCACAGTTATCGACATCACATTTGAATGGCTTTATATTCATATGAAGATATTGTTTATGTTGTCTTAATTGTTTTAAATTTGTAAAATATTTTCCACAGCTATTGTAATCACACTTGAATTCGGGTTCAATTGAATGATCTATTGATTTGTGTTGTCGTAAACAATGATTTGTTGTAAATGTTTTTAAACACTCGTTTACTGAACATTTAAATTGTTTTTTCTTCAAATGAGTTAATTTATGTATTTTATAATTGCCTTTTGATGCAAATGTTTTATTACAATATTCAACATCACATTTAAATAATTTTTGTTTCCAGTGTTCTTGAATTTCATGATATCTAATACCAGACTTTGTTTTAAATATTTTATTACAATTTTGATGAAAACATTTAAATTTTCTATTGAAATGTTCAATAGATTTATGTCGATATAAAAGTGAATTACCAGTAAAACTTTTGCCACAATCGTTGACATCGCAAACATATTTAATATTTAAATGTTTAGCACTTTTATGACAATTTAATGTTTTCTGTGTTTTGAATATTTTATTACAATTATTACAATTGAATGGTTTATTAGATGAATGAATCAATTGATGCATAAATAGTTTGCTTTCTTTATTAGTTTTATACCGACATTTAGGCCAAAAACACTTGAATCGCGTGTTATTATTGTTATCCACACGTGTGTTGTTGTTGTTGTCATAACAGTCACTATAATCAGTGATTTTCATAGAAATGCAATCATATGTTGTTTTAATAATCATTTCATTCAAGGCATCCATTGATTCACACAATTCATAGCATTTGTTATTAATTTGTTGTAATTTTAATGAAAAACATTTCAATTTATTCAATTTATTTAATTTATTATTAGTTTTGTTTAATAATAACTCCATTATTATTGTTTTAGAAAATTTCACTAAAATATATCAAATAAATACTATTGTGTTGTTTTGATAGCACATTGAAATCACACCAAACAATAAGTAAAATAGGAAACGGATCATATCACGATATATATAGATATATATATATATTTGTATTTAATCCTTAAACCTGTTGTAAATAATTATTATTACATTTTACTTTATTTATACTAATATACACTAATGTACAGGTGTTTTGATCACACATTTAAAATCACATCAAAAATATTTATCATAGAAAAAATTGATATCATTTTATATATTATTTTTTAAATCTTAAATCCTATTTATTATTTGTTTAGTACTTTTATGTTAAATGTTTTACAACTTTTTTATTTTGTTTTTTTTGTAAATAATATATTTTATTATAGTAATTATTATAATTATCATAAATATCAATTAAATAAAAAAATTTTAATTGATTTATTAATAATTATTTTTTTAAAAATATTTATTTTATAAACATTTATTGTATTAATATTATATCGTTTATGTTGTCGTAAATATTTTTAATTTGTAAAATATTTTCTACAGTTTGGGTTGGGTTCGGTTTGGGTTTAATTATCCTAAATATTAATTAAATAAAATAAAATTCAAGTTTTGATTGATTTATTAATAATTATTAAAAAAATATATTTTATTTATTTTATGAACATTCAATTGTATTAATATTGTTCATGAATTAACAATTACTTTTAATAAAAATAATATGAAAGCTATTACTGTATAATTTATTTATTGAATATTTTTTTTTAAATAAATCATTTGATTAATTAATTTTCTAATATATTTTAAAACATAATAAGTTTTAGTATAAATTAAAAAATATACATTAAATAATTATTTTATATACAATTAATTAGTAGATATATATATATATATATATATAATGAATTGTTGTAAAACAATTGTTTTACTGAACAATGAAATTGTTTTATTTAGTTTAAATAATTTTTTTATGTTTTATATTCACAAGTTTTTATTTCATTTTATTGATTATAAAAAATATTTAGTTGTCTTTTATTATTTTTGATTATTGTTGAGTTATTGACATAATTATAGTTTTAATTATATGATATAAAACATTTTTTTTTAATAAAATAAACAAATTTTCAAATAATTAATAACAAATTAGTTAAGTAATTTCATATTTAATTATAATAATATTAATGATTATAAAAAATTTATTATCAATAAATTAATAATAACTGTTATTATTTTTATTTAACAATTTTATTAAATAATAAAAATAAAAAATATTTTGTTTTGTTTTCTATTATTGTTGTTTTATTGACATAACTTTTTGAATCATTGAATAGTATTCGTACATAAATATTATTATTGTTTATTTAAATACATTATAATAATGTTTGCAAAATATATAGACAAAAAAATGATTTAATTAAATGAAATAAAAAACTAATAAAAATAATGACAATTTTGATATTAATTAACTAATTGATAATAAATAAATTTATGATATATTAAACTTCCCATAATTTGTGTTGTCATAAACAATGATTTGTTTTAATAATTTATATACTTTATATAAATATTAATCAATATGATATATATATATCTAATAATATTAAAATTAGTTAATTAGTTAATCATTATTGAGCTAATTGATGTAAAATATATTTATGATAATTTAAATTTTCATTTCTACTGAAAAATTTGTTACAGTTATTGACATCACATTTGAATGATTTAATAGCCGAATGTATTTGTCGATGTTGTGATAGATTAGATTTTTTACGAAATTGTTTGCCACAGTTATCGACATCACATTTGAATGGTTTTAAACCCAAATGAATAGTACGTTTGTGTTGATTCAAAGTAGTTTTACTAACAAATATTTTGTCACAATTTTTTAAATTGCATTTAAATTGCGATACAATTGAATGATCCCGTGATTTATGTTGTCGTAAACAATGATTTGTTGTAAAACTTTTTAAACAATCATTCACTGAACAATGATATTGTTTTTTCTTTAAATGTATTAATTTATGTAAATTATATGAACTTTTGTGTACAAACATTTGGCCGCAATAGTCGACATCACATTTGAATGATTTTTCTTTCAAATGCACTGCTTTTACATGATATCTTATATTATATATTTGAGTAAATGTTTTGTTACAATCAATATAATTACATTTAAATCGTCTATTAGAATGAATATTCAATTTATGATTTTTTAGATTACTTTTTGAATTAAAACTTTTGCCGCAATCATTGATATCACAAACAAATTTATTGTTGAAATGTACATAATTTTTATGGTTACTTAATTTATATGATACTGAAAATGTTTGATTACAATTATTAATATTACATTTATATGGCTTATGTAATGTATGAGTTGTTTTATGATAATCTAAATTTTGTTTATTATTAGCTGTAAACCGACATTTAGGCCAAAAACACTTGAATCGCGTGTTATTGTTGTTATCCACACGTGTGTTGTTGTTGTTGTTGTCATAACAGTCACTATAATCAGTGATTTTCATAGAAATACAATCATTTGTTGTAATATTCATTGAATTGAAGCCATCAATAGCTTCACACAAAACATCGCTATTTTCTAACAAACTATTTGTTTTAATATCAATACTATTGTGTAATGATTTCAATTCACTTAATATATTCAACATATACTTAATATTAACCAATTTATTATTTATTATATCCATTTCTTATTAATTATACTTATATTAAATAGTAATATTGGTTAGTATTGGTTAGTAATATTAAAATTAACAACAAATAGACAAAAACAATAGCAATAATAACAACAGATAACTACTAAATACAGATTTAAACAAACAAAGCAATAGTTTTGGCGCTTATATTATGTTTTTCATTAGCAATGGATATCAATATATCGATATAATTGATACTAAAACCGGTTTATTTTCTTTTAAAACAAACTACAGTTTTAGAATAGCTCTCTCTCTCTCTCTCTCTCTCTCTCTCTCTCTCTCTCTCTCTCTCTCTCTTACACACACACACCATAAACCATTATTATCACTTACATAATCAATTATTATTACTTTAGTTATAAACAAATTTATAAGTAAATAATTAATTATAAACAAAAAATAATCAGTTGTCTTTTATAATTATTGTATTATTAATCCATACATCTATAATAACATAACTTTTTGAATCATTGAATAACAATCATAGATAAGTATTATTATTGTTTATTTATATACAGTATAATAATGTATGAAAAACATATAAACAAATAAAAATTAGTTAATTAAAACTAATAAAAATAAGGATTTTTTAGTAAAAAAAGTTCTCTATAAAAGATTTTGTTGATGTTGTCATTAATAGATTAGAAAATAATTAATATTATAAAAAACTATTTAGTAGTAGACTAATTGTCAACTAATTGATGAAAAATATATTTATGATATTTTAAACTATCTTTTATTTTAAAAACTTTGTTGCAATTATTGACATCACATTTGAATGATTTAATTTCTGAATGTGTTAGTCGTCGATGTCGTAAAAAACTATTTTTAAGAGCAAATTGTTTGTCACAGTTATCGACATCACATTTGAATGGCTTTAAACCCAAATGAATGATAAGTTTGTGTCGATACAAACTTTTTGCAGTATAAAATATTTTTATACAATTATTGTAATCACAAGTAAATTGTGATTCAATTGAATGATCTATTGATTTGTGTTGAAGTAAACAACGATTTGTTGTAAAACTTTTCAAACACTTGTTTACTGAACAATGAAATTGTTTTTTCTTTAAATGTATTAATTTATGTAAATTATATTAACTTTTGTTTACAAACATTTGGCCGCAATAGTCGACATCACATTTGAATGGTTTTACTTTTAAATGCACTGCTTTTACATGATTTCTAATATCATATTTTTGAGTAAATGTTTTGTTACAATCAATATAATTACATTTAAATCGTATCATACAATGAATTTTAAAAATGAAATTTAGATTAATTTTTTTAGTAAAACTTTTGCCGCAATCGTTGACATCACAAACATATTTATTATTGAAATGTACTAAATTTTTATGGTTACTTAATTTATATGATAATGAAAATGTTTGATTACAATCATTAATATTACATTTATATGGTTTATGTAATGTATGAATTGTTTTTATGATAATCTAAACTCTGTTTACTATTACTTATAAACCGACATTTAGGCCAAAAACACTTGAATCGCGTGTTATTGTTGTTATCCACACGTGTGTTGTTGTTGTTGTTGTCATAACAGTCACTATAATCAGTGATTTTCATAGAAATGCAATCATTTGTTGTTATATTGAGTTTATTAATGCAATCATCAGTTAGTTTAAAACTATTTGTTTGTTTATCACTAATACTATTGTGTAATGATTTCAATTCATTTAATTTATTTAACATATACTTAATATTAACCATTTTATTATTAATTAACTTCATATTAATATTGAATATTAAAAATTATTTAAAAAAAACAAAATAATAACAATAATAACAACACTTATAACTACTACTAAATAACAAACAAAGCAATAGTTTTGGCGCTTATATTGTGTTAATTCAATAGCAATGGATATCAATGTACTGTATAACTGATAGTTAAAAACTAGGAATGATTCAGATATTACGTTCGCACTTAAGGGAGGGGTGAGGGTCGGCCATAGCAAACTTTTGCGAACGAGGGGGAGGGGGAGGGGTAGTGAACTTGAAAATGTTTGTATTTAGATATTTTATTTCTTAATGGTGGGAGTATAGAGGTGGGTGGGAGGGGTCTAGATATCTTAAAAAGTTTGAACGTAGTATGTGAACAGCCCCTAGAGTTTTGTATCTCTCTCTCTCTCTCTCTCTCTCTCTCTCTCTCTCTCTCTCTCTCTCTCTCTCTCTCACTCACTCACTCACTCATTCACTATAAGTGAGTGTGTAAGTGAGAGCTTTACAATACTGTAAATAAATATGTGTGAGTGAGTGAGTAAGTGAGTGAGTGAGTGAGTGAGAGAGAGAGAGAGAGAGAGAGAGAGAGAGAGAGAGAGAGAGAGAGAGAGAGATATTACTATATATTAATAGCTATACTAAAACTGTAGTTTGTTTTAAAAGAAAATAAACCGTTAAAAAAAAGTATTAGTTATACATTGATATCCATTGCTATTGAATTAACACAATATAAGCGCCAAAACTATTGCTTTGTTTGTTTGACTCTGTATTTAGTATTTATTTCATGTTATTATTGCTATTGTTTTTCTCAATTTGTTTTTCAATTTTTATATTAATTATAATTAATTAAGAAATGGATATAATAAATGATAAATTGATTAATATTAAGTATATGTTAAATAAATTAAGTGAATTGAAATCATTACACAATAGTATTAGTGATAAACAAACAAATAGTTTGTTAGAAAATAGTGATGTTTTGTGTGAAATGATTTAATGTTTGACTAAACTTAACACTAATTGTATTAAAATGCTTGTATTTATTTGCCTACAAAATGCACTATTTATTATACAGTACCATAACTCCACCCATTTTACACACAAAATATATTCCCGTAATATATATACTAAAAAATATTAAATAAAATAATAATAAATATTAAATAAAATAATAATAAATATTAAATAAAATAATAATAAATATTAAATAAAATAATAATAACTAAAAATATTAATATATTAATAAATTTTTAATTATTTATTGTGAATTGAATTATTATTATTTATAAATTATTTTAATTAAAAATATTTTTAAAAACTATCACATTTTGATTAGATTTGAATTAAAAAAAATTAAATGATTATATAATTATATATTTATATATAAATCACAAAAAATCACATATTGAATATATTAAATATTGATTTGAATTGTTTGAAAATAATAATATAAAAACATATAAAAAAATATTAGTATGTTCAATAAGTTTTGGCCGAAATTATTCTTTTAATTTTTTGATTTCCATCGATTTTATGTCAAGTTCAGTTTGCAAATCGATGTTCTCTACCATCAATCGATGATTTTCTGTCCACAAATTGTCAATCTTAGCTTCCGATTCTTTCAATTGATTGCGCAATTCAGTGATTTCAGTTACCAGCCGTGAATTGGTGAATTGCTCGAGATCAAAACGCTTTTGTAGATCACCAATTTCTTGTTTGTATTTGAGCCTGGCATCAAATAATGCGCTATTAGCAATTCGCAAATCCTGACAGATCTTTCGAACATTAAAAGTTGGATTCCTTTCAACTTCGGCTGCAATCCATTTATTCACCGCATTGCTAAGAAAATTCCTATAATTTTGCAACTAATTATATATACAAAAATTAAAAATGTTAATATGCAATCAAAATTATGTTTTATAATTAATTAAAGTAGTAATATGCAATCAAAATTATGTTTTATAATAGATTAAAGTAGTAATATGCAATCAAAATTATGTTTTATAATTAATTAAAGTAGTAATATGCAATCAAAATTATGTTTTATGATAGATTAAAGTAGTAATATGCAATCAAAATTATGTTTTATAATTAATTAAAGTAGTAATATGCAATCAAAATTATGTTTTATAATAGATTAAAGTAGTAATATGCAATCAAAATTATGTTTTATAATTAATTAAAGTAGTAATATGCAATCAAAATTATGTTTTATAATTAATTAAAGTAGTAATATGCAATCAAAATTATGTTTTATAATTAATTAAAGTAGTAATATGCAATCAAAATTATGTTTTATAATAGATTAAAGTAGTAATATGCAATCAAAATTATGTTTTATAATTAATTAAAGTAGTAATATGCAATCAAAATTATGTTTTATAATAGATTAAAGTAGTAATATGCAATCAAAATTATGTTTTATAATTAATTAAAGTAGTAATATGCAATCAAAATTATGTTTTATAATAGATTAAAGTAGTAATATGCAATCAAAATTATGTTTTATAATTAATTAAAATAGTAATATGCAATCAAAATTATGTTTTATAATTAATTAAAGTAGTAATATGCAATCAAAATTATGTTTTATGATAGATTAAAGTAGTAATATGCAATCAAAATTATGTTTTATAATTAATTAAAGTAGTAATATGCAATCAAAATTATGTTTTATAATAGATTAAAGTAGTAATATGCAATCAAAATTATGTTTTATAATTAATTAAAGTAGTAATATGCAATCAAAATTATGTTTTATAATTAATTAAAGTAGTAATATGCAATCAAAATTATGTTTT